TCTTAATAGGATATTCTATATTACATACAATTTCAAATGTAGTTAACAAATAATCACCAGACAGATTAATCTTAATTTCAATAAACACTTATAAAATGTCAATAAAATGTCGCATTGTGTTTTTTTTTAACAACACAATGGATTTAAAAGTGAAAAAGTGTGCTTGTCAAGTGCTGGAAATGCATCGTGAAAGAGTCGAAGTTGGAAAAGCTGTATTATACATATTCTTTGTTTTTGGTTTTCTGGCCAGACTCGAGATATTAGTTGCCCCACAAAGCCAAACCTTTGTCAAGATTTCAATTCTGAATCCTTACAAAAGTAGTTCACATAAACAAATGCAAGAACATAAATTATTTTTTTTTTCTTTTATTGAACACAATGTAGAGCATCTCACAGCTGTGGGTTTGGGCCTTGGAATGGAAAGCACTGCTGCTCTCTACTGGAGGCATCTATACAAATATTTGGTTTGTAATGAAATATAATTGAAGTGAAAACACAATCAAAACTCCACCGTTTGCTTTTAAAAATTGGTTATAAGAACCACAAATAATCCTTTTTGGTGGCTCTATGGACTAACAGCTTGATAGATCAACCGTATTAACCCGGTCTTCTGGAGTTATTTGGTTTATACCCTTAATCTTGTTTTATGGTGAGACTTGTAGAAGATTCACAGATCGGCTTGTCTTCATTCACATTAGTTTTCTTTATAGAGCCCATTTTATGGATTTCTGAAAATGACCAGGTGATACAAAGCTCCAAGGAACATCTAGTTTGAGTTTCAATTGTGCTTTGTGTATTAAGATATTGTTTTTTAATTAGAAAGAGACTACTCATAGTTATCAAATCTAGCGTGCTGTGATGCACCAAGCTCCTCCCACCCCCATGTGTTTAGACCAAGCTGCTAAACTCCTCCCCCAAACATTGCATCTTGTTTTTTGTTTTCTTTTTAGAAGAATCTCAGCTGTACTTTCCTGATGACTACCGTGCTACATGTCTAGATTCGCTAAAAACCTTTCAAGATGGATCAGCTCCCAGTTTATTTGCACCAACCAGTGTACTTTTATCCAGAGCAATTTTTATAATGGACCATATCTGATTGTAACAATGCTGATAATGATCAGATTTTACTGTCAGTTGTGCATTTGACCAATGTGCTATCAAACCAGGGCATCTCTAAAATAAAAATAAAACAACTGTGTGCTTTAAATCAAAATGACTTCAGCAGAAACTTTCCAAATGCCCCATGTCAACAGTCTACTACACACCTTGGTGATTTCGGCTTGATAACATGCACAAATACTGATAGAGAAGGGTTCGAGCGGCTGGTGAAGGTCACCATCCTCACCTCGACCTGTTTGCTTGGAATCAATGTTTGTGCAGAAAAGGTTTCTCAGTATCTGGCTCCTGAGAAACATTTCTGCTACAATTGCCAGAAGAATTGTACGGGATGCAAAGAAAAACCGGGCTGAAATACAGGGCTCTCTGAAAAATCACAGCCTTTTCAAGGAGCACAATAAGGAGATACTAGAAAAAAAATGGGTTTCATGGTCGCGTTTCCAGAAGAAAGCCATTGCTACACAAATGCCACTTACTCTACGGTAAACAGCTCAGAGGTGAGCCCTAAACTTCTAGAACAAAGTTATTTGGAGCAATGAGACCAAAATTGAACTTTTTTGCCACAACCTAAAACAGTTAGTTTGGAGAGGAGTCACCAAGGCCAATGATGAACGGAGCACTATCCCCACTGTGTAGCACGGAGGTGGGTCACTGGTGTTCTGGGGATGTGTGAACTCCAAAGGCACAGGAAACTTGGTCAGAATTGATGGAAGATGAATGCAGGATTTCCTCAAAGGATCCTGGAGGAAAATGTGCCTCATCAGCCAGAAGCTGCACATGGGACGTTACTGAACTTTCCAACACGACAACGACCCAAAACACAAGACCACGCCCACTCGTCATCGGTTCCACCAGAAATAACTGAGCGTATCTCAGTCTCCTGAACTCTCTGAAACACTCTGGGGAGAACTTAAATGTGCCGTTCATGCAAGAATTTACAAGAGATGGAAGCTTTTTACCAAGAAGAATGAGCTGCTTAACCAACAGAGAAGATAAAGAACCTCATCGACAACTACCTCAAGAGACTTCAGACTGTCATTGATGAGGGAAATTAAAGGGGGAATATGGAGTAATAAGAGCTGGGTTGTGTAAACTATTGATCAGGGCCATTTGTAATGTTTAAACACCGTCGTTTGACAGTAATCGGTTTCACCAAACCACTAACTATGAGTGGAAAAAAATGCTTTTCTGGTATCGCTCGTATTTTCTGAAAAAAAATGGCCAAATAGCACAACTATATTTGTGCCCGATTTTGTTTGTGTTTCACATGAACAGTTTTTAATGGGTTTCAGAGCTGCGAAGGCATTCCGCGGTGACAGTGTTGGGTTAATTGTTAGCTGCACGGATTCCACCCAGGAAGCATGTTTGCATTGTCACTTGTTCATTCAACCCAGAGTTTGACACAAGGAGGTAAGAAATTTTATCGTCTGTCTTGTTCTCTTCTGAACTCAATGTTAATGGTTTGAACTGGAAAGCTAGTAACTGACAGCAAGCCATTTTTAATGGTAAAATTAATATGTTTTTGTGTTGCGAGTATTGCTCACTTCAGAGTTTGGAGACTCCATTTTTATGCATTTTGTTCAAGCCTTACACTAAAACCAGTTTGTTGAATGAACGGAATTATGCTTTGATTTTCCAACTTTTTTCATGCCCAACAGAAAAATTCAGAATAAATAAATAAATAACTGAATGAGCATACGTTAAAAAAATAATAATTAAATTAAAAATGGTATTGTGTTTGTCTAATCAAAGTGTAATCAGGTTCAAATAATTTGTTGTAATCTTTTTATATAAATATAGATATCACAGAAAAACAGAATCACACACGGCGTTTCTCCGATGAAGAGTTTTTGTCTGAACTGTAGTTGTTGATAAAGCTAGAAATAAAACTAGAATAATCAAACAATTTCACTCAACATTTGTGCTTATTTTTATAAATGCAATGGTAAAAGCAAGATACATTTTATTGAGTGTAGAATGTCATAAGAAACAAAGTGGAATCTCTTATTGGACTTTATTGCTCAGAATTATTTTTGTCTGACCTTAGGCTACCCCCATTCAGAAACTAAGCTTTTTTTGCACAGGCCTATCTCAAGGGATAATGCTTCTAAAAGGTGATCAAATCTCCAATTTTACTTCTTATCGACAGGAATGACAACCAAGAATCAAATATTTTGTGCCATGCATTGCTATCAAAAAAGGTCATTGTAAGTCAAAGGGGTACAAACAATAAATGAGGTAGAAAAAAATGAAATCTGGTGTTACACAAAATCAAAAATCCAACGAAATGCCAATGTTGTTACTAATATTTGACACATCCAAGACTGTGATAAAACACAGAAAAAATCCAGGCCACAATCATTTATCTTTTTATTTTCTGAAATCAGTGACATTATGTTTATGATCTTGGTAACTAAAGGGTGAAAATTGTGGATTTAAAAAAAAATAGTAGTTATGGCCAGACCTGAAGTTGATAAAGAGATTTAAATAAATTGGATACAAATATTGATCTGATAGATTTTTAATTTTACAAACAACGCTAAAGGTTAGTACATGTGCACAGAAAGTACTTTTAAGCATTTTATTAAAATATATGTAAAAAAATATATTTTTTTTGACATATAAAAAAAAATTGTGATATTACTTTTGAATAAAACTATGCTACTATTAGCAAAATCCATCCAGGGGTTGAGTTCAAGTTCCTTTAAGGACTCCACTGTTTTCATTATACAACAAAAAGAAGAAAAAGATCGGTAAAATGACGCTCTGCTTGTTCCTCTGCACGAATGCCTCTGCAGTAGATTTTGACCAGTGTTTAGGGTCATTGTCTTGCTGAAAGATACAGTTCCGGCAAAACGTTTGTTCACCAGAATCTTTGCTTGTCCAAAAGCGCACTAGCACCAATGCGTTCTATGTGCAAAGGAAAAGGCTTTTTCAGCATCCATACAGTTTCTCCGTGTGTAAAATATTTTAAATCCAATTGTTCTGAGAAAATTACTTTAGAAACAGGAAGTTACATCACAGCTAGGTTTTATAAATCACTGCTAGGTTGTAGTAGGTTTTTTTAAACCTTGAAAGAGCTGCTTCACATCTTTCACACCCCCCCACCACCTTCTAGTAGTTAGGTGTTAATTGAACAATGCACAGTGGCGCCATCTGCAGCAAGATGATGCTGTAGGTCTTTGGAGATGGTCTGTGGGTTGACCGTGCCTGCTCTCACCATCCCGAACTTCCAATTCCTCACAGTTGAAACTGAGAGCTTAAATCTCTGAGATCTTTCTGTATCCTTCCCCTAAACCACGATGTTCAACAATCTCAGTTTTCAGCTCTTCTCAGAGTTGTTTTGAGGCTCGTATGTTTCCACTGTTTAGGGAAGAAGCAAAGTTCTAAATCAATAAAATCAATAAATTGACTAGGGTGCCTAAATTTATGCACTTGCCTAATTCTCGCACACAAGATTAAGATCAAGAAACCTTTATTAGTCACACAATGGGGAAATTGCATATTTGCAATATACGGACAAGTTAGATAAGTTAAGAAAAAGATGTATGCATTATAAAAAGATTACTGATAAAAAGATATATACATTACAAAATAGAGTACCAATACTATCCATAAATCATTGAAACTTTATTTCACTTCTCAAATATCACTGTGTTTGTTGAAATTTCTTATGATAACCATCGTGGAAATTTACAGGGGTCAATTGTGTGCAATTCACTGTAGCTGCAGTGTCAAAATAACTGCTTGGAGGAATTCAGACAAATATTTTTTGTTTTGTTATTCACCTGCAATGTTGAGAGCTTACATCTACTACATCTACGCTTTTATCCAAAGGGACTTGCATTTGAACGAATTAACACATTTTTTTTGTCATCACTTCTTGCTTCCCCTGGGGTTTGAACCCACAACCTTTGCGTTTTCAGCGCAATTCTCTACCAACCGAGCCGCAGTAAAGATGGAATCCATGTAATTACATTAGGCTTGGATTCTGGATATCGTTCAATGAACACAGAAGCTATTTTGAGATTCTAGAAATGGTTGTGTCATGTGATGCATAGTGTGCTACAGCTTTTGAGTCATTCAGGCACAGTTGTACTTCAGCAGAAGCTTGCAGTGAGTTTAATGAGGCGGGGCTCTGGTCTCTTCTTGGCTTCTGTCACTCTGTCTCAAGCTAAAAAGTATCAAGTGTCACTTTCAATGGGGTATTGTGCTGTTCTGCCCTTGCTCACCTCAGCCAATGGTGAATCGAGGCACCCTCCTCCTTCCTCAGCCGAGAGAATGACTGAACTTTGTTGGATCCGCCCTTTTTGTTGGCTGTAACACTTGATTTTTAGAGATGGATCAAATCTTATCTGCTGGATGTTGGTCTGTCGCCTCGGGTTAAGCATGATTCTCGTGTGAAGCTGGACTTGGTGGCTCTGAAAGTAAGCTATACTTGACTGAGAAGAGTAACTAGCATAGTTTTACTCAGGTGTTTTGTAAAGTAGATGATGGTGTAGAAGATGAGATGTTTGCATCTCTCAGATTTGGACTCGTTTATTTGAATAGTAAAACTGAGCTATGGATTACAAATGGATGTTACTTCAAACCCCAGTTAATCAAATAATGCTCTTTAATTTCTGAAAATCAAGTTTATGAAGCTGCTTGTGAAAATCTTCAATGAGCTCTTTGGTGCTCTTCAGTCTTGGCCAAATAAGTAATATTTTGCCTCAATAAACGTGCTTTTAAATATAGGATATTTTTGTGAAATTTCACAGCCTGTGACTGGTTTTACTAGAAAAAAAATGAAAATTTTAGACTATTAAATGGTTTTGAAAACCCTTTTGCTTGCTGAAAAATGTTTTGGCATTCAGTTTCTTATTTTCTGTCTGATTTCATTACCTGTGCCATATTATGCCTGTTTGAAGCATCTATAATAAACATCTAGGCCCTCTCCTTCACACCTTTAACCTTAACAGCTTTCTAAACGTAATCATAAAAAATCAGTTAATCGTTAAAAATGTCTTTGAATCACCTTTTTGTGGCCTCTTCAAAACGTGCCATTTACCCCCTCCCACAGTCATGCTTTTGCGATGCCCCCTGCTGACCAGCCCTCACCTGTCAGTCAGAATACAGCAAACACATAAACACAGAGCGGGCGCTTTAAATTAATTTTTTGGTAAAAACAACTTTTGGTTCCGGGCATTAGACTGCATGACCGCTCTGTAAAGAGATGAGCTGTAGTCGCGATTCATCCGGTTGGTCAGTGGGCGGTGCTAGAACTATGGGTGGTGCTAGTAAACAAGTATAGAATAGTACAGAAATATTGGATAACACAAACATGAAAGATTTATTGAAGCCCATTTTTTGTTAGGGTGACAATTTTACTTTTATCTAATAAGTTTGAGATTATGAAAAATTACATAAACGCTGTCCACGTGAACACTGCAAGAAGTGTTTATTTTATGGAAATTTTCTAAATAGACAAGTCTGCGATAACGTGTCAGTAATCAATTAATCAATGATTGACTCAATACAAATCAAAATGTTTACAAAAAAATGTTATCTCAAAATTTAAACTTTTTATCTCACAATTTTCACGTTATCTCAAAAATTTTCACTTTTTTAAAATGACTTATTTCTACTTTTCTAAAAAAAATAAAAAAAAAATAAAATACAAATTTAGACTTTTTATCTCAAAATTCACTTTTTATCTAAAAGTTAGGTTTGGCTTTGTGTCACAATTAAAAAGTGTGTATTCACTTTTTATCTCAAAATTTCGACTTCTTATCTAAAAAAAATCTACTTTTTATTTCAAAATTTTGACATGTTATTTAAAAAAAAAATCACTTTTTATCCAAAAGTTTTGACTTTAACCACAAAAGTCGGGTCGGTGTGTAGTGACTTCTTATACAGAAAATGTTCACATTTTACCGAACACATTCGACTTTTTATTTCAACATTTATTAACTTTTTTTTTTTTTACATTATTTTTAACTTGATAGAAAGGGACTTCCAAAAAGTTTCTGAATAGCAGCAATACTAAAAGATGCTAGGAATGTCCGAAGAGTCGGTTTTGCATAATTAAGATTTTTACAGGCTGCTCTTCTTTACAATATTAAAACCAAACTTTTGACAGAAGACACTAAAGATGAATAAATTTAATTTACATTGTTATTTCTGAAAATACCACACTTTTAGAACACATTTAGCCATTAACCTAAAAAGACCTTCATATGGAACCAAGAGAAATGTATTTGTGTTTCAGGATTCGAACCTGGTTTCATGTGCGTTTATCCAGACTGACTACGGAACTAAAGCTGGAGTTTAGATCTTCTAAAGGATGGATGAAGATCTGAAGGAGCCCAAGTCACTCAATGGCACCGTCTCAGGGGCTGTGGAAGGCAAGAAGCCTGATCAGCCGAAAGCAGCCGCTCTGCACAAGGATGTGAGTTTGAGGGACCTTTACTCATTACGGCAACATTACACTGAAGAATGTGAAGAATTCTGGCGTTTGAAGGATTTAACTGGAGGTTAACCTGGCACTGCTTGTCGCCGTCATTGTGTCTAAGCCATTCCTTTCCTGACCTGCCTGCCAGGGGGCTCTTCTCTCTGAGCTTGAATTGTTTATAGTTTTTTTTTGCCATTCCATTATAGTTTCACTGTGTGGTTTATGAAAAAAAGCAGCATATGTTAAGATTACTTTCATTAAATCTCGATAGACATCAAATCTGCTGAAGGCTAATGTGATATCGAGCATTCGTGCATGTTTAATCCTAAAAGCAGCCCCTGACCCTTTGACTGCATGTGTCAGGTGGGTCTGGTGAGCGGCATCTGTCTGATCGTTGGGACGATGATTGGCTCCGGTATCTTCATTTCTCCTAAAGCTGTGCTGGAGGGAACCGGAGCTGTGGGTCCTTGTTTGTGTGTTTGGGCAGCGTGTGGTCTGCTGGCAACCCTTGGTCCGTACCCCATACTCACACTTCATCTGCGAGCTTGCATTGAAATAAAAAAACATGGTGGAATTGATCATAAAGCATCACTTCAAACTCTATATATGATATTCAAACACCGGCCACTTTATTAGGTACACCCTTCCAACTGCTCGTTAACGCAAATTTCGAATAAGCCAATCACACGGCTGCAGATCAGTGCATTTAGGCATGTCAAGACGATCTTCTAAGTGAGGAAGAACGAGGATTTAAGGCATGGTCGTTGGTGCTAGACAGGATGGTCTCAGTATTTCAGAAACTGCTGATCTACTGGGATGGTGCTGCCTTGTATCAATGGTTCAGATTGTTGGTGGTGTAATGCTGTGCTAAGCTTCGTTTATTTTTGCCTATTGAGCAGTTCAGGTAAGGTGTATTTAATAAAGTGGGCGGGGAAAGAATGATGCCATAAATGCACATATTACACATTTTTGACCATTTACAGTAAAATTCATCCCTTGTGCCCCAGATTACGTTTGGGTGAACTCAAAGGTCTTAATCCGAAATGATCCCTCATTCAGTTAATCGGAGTTAATTTAAGTCTTGAGTAAAAATTCCTCAGAGAAATCCTCTTTGTGCTGTTACTCACTGTGTCTGTGGAAGGCCTCTGGGTAATGAACTCGTTGCCCTCTCAGTGTGTGTTCGTCTGTGTGTGTGCAGGGGCGCTCTGCTACGCCGAACTGGGCACGATGATCGTGAAGTCTGGAGGAGAGTACCCGTACCTCATGGAGGGTTTCGGGCCGGTGCTAGCATACCTGTATTCATGGTCCACCATCGTTGTACTGAAGCCTTCGTCATTTGCCATAATTGCCCTGAGCTGCGCCGAGTACGCCTCCACCCCGTTTTACCCAGGATGCACTCCTCCTCAAGTGGTCACCAAGTGCCTTGCTGCAGCATGCATCAGTACGTAAAGTCTGGGTGCTTTTATGTGCCTGGTTTCCAGCACATGGTCTTGCATGGTGTGTCGTTATCGAAAATACATTGTCCTTCAAATATTGACGAATCAAGAGGCAGGATTGTAATGAACAGAAAGGAAACAGGAAGGGAGGAAGCTATAGGACAAGCCCTTCAAGCACGTCACCCCATGAGTCACAGTGACACACTAGCACATCATATTTTTAGCAGAACCGGCTAACATTATTTACTTTCATCGTTGATATTAATATTTTTTGCAATGATTACAATTTTCTATCACAGTGCCTTTGTTCTCTCCTCAGTAATTATCACAATGGTCAACAGTCTGAGTGTGAAGCTGGCCTACAGAGTCCAAAACTTCTTCACCGCGGCCAAACTCCTGATCATTGTCGTCATTGTGGTTTCAGGCATTGTCATGTTAGCACAAGGTTTGTTTATTATATTCTTTATTACAGTTTTATTCTATATTGTGTGGAGCTCCCTGCCTGAAGAGGGCGTTTGTGGTACAACAGATTCTCACCACTCCAAATGGGGAAACAGGAAGGAAAAAGAAGCGACAGAAAAAAAAAATCAAAGAACATGCGGAAAAAAAAAAATCATGGATGTCGAAAATGTGAAGAAAAGAAATTATTTGTGGCGCGCTATTTCTTTCCTGTTTTGCTGTACGAAGTCGTGGGGAGGTGTGTCCTCGCACAAACTTTCCGGTCTGCAAATTTCCATAGTTTTAGTTTAGCTGATGTATATTATTTACTTATTTTTTTTTTTAATCAACAACTATATGTGTGTAATTGTGTTTCTTGTGCAGATCATTCATAAAATGTTCTTGGTGAGGCACTGCCTGATGCTAGGCGGGGGGGTGGGGGCTAGTGATCACAGAGATCATGACTCCTGAGATGCAGACAGGTTAATCCCCGCCTACTGAACATGAAGCTCCACCCGTGAGTTATCTCATTGGTTTACCATGGAAGTGACATCAAGATTCAACATTCAGTGGGCGGGACTTCACATCAAGTGGGTGGGGCTTAGCCCATCTGCAGCCTTCCATTTATTTATTTTTTTTTATCTTTAGGCGC